ATTATTTGGTTTCTAAGAAATTCTTTTTTAATACTCTGAACATTTATTCTCTTTTTGATATAATATTCTCCCCTACATTCTTGAATACAGTGTCTTCTCTTATTTCCCTGAGGAAAGTCAGGTCATTGGTTTTGAAATGTTTATGTCCTTGCATTGTCTCTTCTAGGGAGCTTTTATTTTCTATGTTTCTTGCACTGTAAACTCAGTTATCTAAAATTTTTTTAAAAAGGAAATATTTTTCTGGTTTCTTTAGTTAGTTATAGGTTTTCCTAAGATATCTGGTGATCCTACATTGTCTGTTCATCAACACGTGAGGTCATTAGGTGCTTGTGCTGTGGCGAAGCCTTCATGCAAGGAAACTTCTGAAACATGAGACACCTTCAATTTACACTTAGATGGTTATGTAACCCACACCATACTTCCAAGTATATATGTTACAGGTTTGTTTACCATTAGGAATCCTAGACAACCAGGTTTAACCTTCTGAGAGTATTCCACGGATAAGCACTCTCCTGCAAGCAAATATGATTCGTTTATTTGCCAGGAGGTCTGACATTAACATGTTTACAAGGAGATTTGACTGGATCATCTTTTCTCTTTTTTGATTATGAAGAGACTGAACTACAGACCTGCTTAACCAGGTACTGCACTGTGTTTATGGTGTGCTGGGACTTCTTATTCAATCACAGCAAGAAGTCTATGTGTCTAGTACTATTATGCCCATCTAAAAAGGATGTGACAGCTGTGTAACCTGGTTCTTTGTACCCTCAATGAGTCCCCAACAATAAAACATAAATAAATAAATAATAAAAAGGATGTGAAACTCAGTGCTTAAATTGTTTCCCCAAAGTTATGTAAAATCAAGAGGGCCTCAAATGGCCTTTCCTCAGTTTCCCTTCCCATTGTGCTCCCCCAAATAAGGTACCCTATCAAAATGACCTTCCTGGCCAGTCTCAGTGGCTCAAACCTGTAATCCCAGCACCCTGAGGGGCTGAGGAAGGCAGATCCCTTGAGCTCAGGAGTGTGAGAATAGCCTGAGCAAGAGCGAGACCTCACCTTCACTAAAAATAGAAAAATTAGCTAGGTGTTGTGGCAGGTGGCT